AGCAGCTCGCCCAGAGCACAGTGGCTGTGAACGGGACATGAGCCTGGGCACAAAGTGTTTCAGGCACTGCGACTGGTCTCGGAGCCACTAGCAGGGTGCTCTGATGGACACAGCCCCAGGAACAAGGCCCCTCACTCAGGAGCCATATGACATCTTTGCCTGCCCTCCCTGCCCCAGACACGTCAGGTCCTGCTCTCCGGGTGCTGGGCCCCAGGGGAGAGCATCGGTCCCTACAGCCTGTCTCTGCTGGGCGCAGGTATAACGCACAGGAGTACTACGAGCGCCTGCCAGAGCTGCGACAGGCTATCGACCAGATCAGCAGCGGATTTTTCTCCCCTCGAGACCCCGGTTGCTTCAGGGATGTTGTGAACATGCTCATGTACCATGACAGGTGAGCCCTGGCAAGCATCCCCCTTTGGTGGGCTGCTCTCAGCCTGCCCAGGCCTCCTTCCCAGCTGGCCTGGGTCCCCCTGCGCAGGGGCTAAGCCCTGCCTGCCCGCAGGAAGGTGTCTGTGCTGCCCTGTCCTGCCAGGCTGGGACCCTACGGCACGCAAACCCCAGCCTTACTCTGCTTTGGGTTTCAGGTTTAAGGTGTTTGCCGACTACGAGGCCTACATTAAATGCCAAGGCCAAGTGGACCAGCTGTTCATGGTAAGAGCTGCCCACTACCGAGGGGGAGGGACGGGGTCCTTGGCCATGGCAGTGCAGCGAGGAGACTGGGGGGCGTAGCTGGGATGAGTGTGCTCCTGGGGAGCCCTTCTTACAGATACCACGTTGTGTGGGCATGGGGCAGGGTGAAGCAGGTTTTGCTGCTTCGGCAGCCCCACACCACAGCGTTTAAAGCAGCCAAGTGCACGTAGCCGGTGTCCTGCAAGGCTGCGAGTTGGGACAGAGCCGGGTGAGGGACTGACTGCTGACATTGCCTCTCCTCTTCCCAGGACCCCCGGGAGTGGACTAAGAAAGTCATCAGGAACATTGCATGCTCGGGCAAGTTCTCCAGTGACAGGACCATCATGGAGTACGCCCGGGAGATCTGGGGTGTGGAGCCACCTGCCACAAAAATCCCCGCACCCAACCTCCCCCGGGATTGATGCAAGCACAAAGGGAAGGAAGGAGGGATGGGTTCCCAGCCCAGGCGGCCTCACCTGCATTTCACCGCCAGTCAGATGGGCTCAGCTCTGCAGAAACAAGGCCTTTCCCTCAGGGGGGGTAGAAGGATGCTCTGAGGAGGAGCCCTGACTGAGGAACGGGAGCTGGGGGAGAGGAGAAAGGACCCTGTGTTTGTACCCATGTATCCAGCCTGCATGTGCTGCATAGTGCTTTTAGTGAGATGACCATGGATAAGTTCCACAACTGTGCTCCATGCTTAACAAGGGCTTTCCAACTAAGTCCTCCCCTCTCCCCCTGCATGCAGCCTGGCCTGGCCTCACCTTCTTGACCCTGCCCAACAAGCAGGTTTAGCCAACACAGTGTCTTCCACCCTTCTCCAGGGAGTCTGCCAGCCCCAAAGCTAGGGGAGGGAGAGGCCACTGTCTGCCCCTCCAGTCACCCCCTTCCCCAGTAACGCCTAGAGAAGGTGGGGCTGGCTGTTAAAGCAGCTGGCTCCAGTGCAGGTGGCAATGTCAAAGGCTATGTGCCACAAGGAGAGAGGGCCTGGGATCAGCGACTTCCTTGCCACAGAGCTTGCTGTAACCTCCTCCCATGCCTCTTTGTTAACTAAAAGCCCAGTAACCAAGCCACTCCAGGGATTTTTAGCCTCCATGTCTGCATAGAGAGGGTTGTACCTGCCACTGCCAGCTGGGTGGCTGACCCTGCTGGGCCCATAGGCCCCAAGGAGGCTCTTGGCTCTCCGGGCACAGCTGTATGCTGGGCGCTACCCAGGGGGTGAACATGTATCACATCTCTTGCATCACTCCACAGCTGGGTCATGCTGCTCCATGTGTCCCTCCCAGTGCTGGGGTCAGAGTTTAACACCCATAGTGCTGTATAGTGCACCAGTACTCCCCTGTGTGACACCAACTCATTAAAACAACCAGAACACCTGCTGGTTTGACTTTGGGCTGACTTGTGACTACTCCACGTCTGTGGGTTCAGGTTGCAACAAGTTCAGACCATGACACCTGAAGCCATGCTGGCCTTCCCCAGCTGTGGCTTCATGGGATGAGTACTCCCCTGGCTGGCATGGTGCTGGCCAGCATGGTGCTGGCACCATCATGGGGGCAACATGCCCATGGCAGAAAGGTCAGTCTTGCCAGTGCATGGGATGTACAGGAGGGAGCTGGTACCAGAGGCTGCACTGGGCTAGCTAAGGCCAAAGCCATTTACCTGCGCCCCTGGTGTGTTGACTATGTGCACTGGGGTGGGGGTTACAGTGTTGGGTTTGCCCTGCAACATGCAGGGCTCCTGTGCTAGAAATCCCACGGGCAGCTCCCATTTCCCCCATCCCCAGTGGGGAAGCAGAGCCTCGGCTGCAGCCGGACTACAGGCACGGACCCACTGGGCTCCAGGAGAGCCACTCACCCAGAGCTGGCAGCAGCCACAAAGACTTGCCCAGTCCCAGCTGCGAGCTCATCTCCCATGCACGACCCTACTGCAGCCCTGCCACACACCCAGCTGACCTGCCCAACTGGGGAAAAAGTCCCCAAAACTGCCACGTAAAACAGGTGAAGCTGAAGTGATCAGCAGTCAATGCCTTTATTAAAACTACACCACTTTTAGATAAACATTTCATTTTAAATTTCCAAGCATATCACTGGCCTACTAACGGGAATGGCAGTGTTGGGATCACCAACACGAGCAGTTCACATGCTGGACCCTCAGCTCTGTCACATGGGAGGAAGACAGCCAGCCAGCCTCCGGCTCAGGCTGCGCTTTGCCCCAAGCCAGCTGCCGGCAGCAGCATTAGCTGGAATGTGCACATCACTCTCCAGAGCCGCGTGTGTGTTTCTCATCTGTCAGTGCAATAAATACAAGTGCGTCAAACATAATTTAAGTGGCACAGTTAGCTTATGAGTATCATGGGTCAGAAACCTCAGGGACAACCACGCTATGGCGGAAGAATCTCAGTACAAGAACAAGCTACTGTCTGCTTTGCAACTAGTATGAGCCTGCAGATATAACTTGGATGCACACTGAGCGGTTTATACTATGCCGTACACCCCTGAACAGACCCTTCAGGCAGCACAATTCACTCTGAGCACTAGTGACTAAACCTACAGCCCCTGGTATTGCCTATATAGACTGACAGGGGGCAGGGCCAGGCCCCAGCCAGACACCACAGAGTCAGCATATGACCCTCTCCCGTCTCAGTGCAGAGCTCACATCAGTGGCATAAACAGCCCCTGTTCTAGCCCCAAGCAGGGCAAGGACATCCCCAGAACTTCTCCCCATGCTCCAACCATGGCTGTGAGATAGGCTGAGAAGTGCTACTGGAAGTGCCTGGGATGCCCAGAGCACAGAAGGGAGGTGGAGGGAGAGATGAGGAAGGACACCCCAGACTGTTATTTTTGCATCAAGAACTGCATACCACTGCCTGCTTTTAGCTACAGAGGAACAGTATAGCCACCAGGAACAGGGAAACCTGACATAAGGAGTTAAAAGGTAGTTGAGGGGAAAAACCTGCCCTTCCCACCCAAAGGAAGCACATGTCTGTCTGGGTGTGTACAGGGAGAATGGAAGACATCCATTCCCACATCCTGGGCCCAAGTTGTTCATGGAAGGGGGAGATCAAGCAAAAAAGTACTCTATCACACCTTCCGGCTTAAACTCCCAAGTTTGCAATTTATCTACATATGTCACTTCAGTCCTAATAGGAAGTGCGTGTGAAGAAGGGGAGGAGCTCCGCAGAGGATAGAGCAGTGATGGGAGCAGAAATTATGTTCAGAGGAAAAAGGGTACAGAAAAGATAAAAGGTCACTAACCTTTTCCATTAAATAGATGTTTGAAAAGGAAGAACAAAAAAAAATATCTTTCATTTTATTTTCAAATGTGGGCAATTAGCCCAACACTTGCAACACATGGTGACTGAAGAGCTAAATAAAAATATCTCTCACCACCTGGATCTTCCATGTATTTGTAATTACAGCCACTTAGCAAAAAGGAAAGGCAAAACATGTATTTCCTAGAAAGAGAACACCTCAAACTCAAGCAAGACAACTGTGGTATGGAGACACGGCAAAAGCCATTCACCTACAAATGAGTCTCTATGTGATCCAAAAACAGCAGCAGTATTTAAAAGTGAAACACGCTTGGTCATGACACACGTGTCCTAGGAATGTCTGTCCTCAGCAGTACCACGGTGGATTGGCCAGGCTTTGTTGTGCTTACATTTTTCACAGTTTGGTACTGGCTCCTGGGCTGTTATCACCCCTCCATTCATGTCAAAAAAGAAGCCAACAACTTCTTTCTTCTACCATCACAGACGCTGATGCCGGGAGCTGGAGTTGCCAAGGGTACACATCAGGACCGGAGTGGGAATCCCTGACCTCCTCTAGTGCCAGGGATGGAAGAATGGCAGACTGACCCACAGGGAGGGGGGAGAAAAAGGAGAGAGAGGAAGGAAAGAAAGGAAAATATCTGTGCTGCCAAAAGCAGCCAGTCTTCAGTGATGATGCTCATGTTCAGATTTTCCCAGGAATTCCCTAGGAAAGGAAACAACACAGCGGTGACACTCAGCTCTCCTACACTCTGGTGCATGCTGCAGCCTGCGGATCTTCCCATTCCCCTGGCACATACTAGGGCTCGAGCACTTGCAGCTACAGGGAACAGCACTGAGCTTTGCTCTCACCCATCAGTGGCTCCCACTAGAAGAGGCAAGCAGAAGTAGCTGCTCTGCAAACAAATCCTCCAGAGCATCCAGCTCACAGCAGAGATGAGCCAGAGAGGAGAAGCGCTCCCGGCTTTCTGTGGCTCCCCTTCCCAAAACCTGCTTTGCAGGGAGGTGGAGAGCTTTGACTTTGTGCTAAGCCAGCCCCAGTATCTCACCCACTCTGGAGACAGAAGGGGTT